AATTTTATGGACGCTACAGGTGAACCAATTTAGTTAAAATAATAAGAATGTCCTAGAAACCATTTTCGTAACGCAGCACTGCGACAGAAGTTAATGCAATACGATCATTAATAGAGAATGATTGCACACCTCTAAAAGCGAAATTACAGTCTGTCAAAATAGACAGCACCTTAACATGATTAGCAAATCGGAATTGGTTAGGAAACTTCCCTGACCAATAAAGTAGCTTTAACAACGAATCTGTCCAATCATGAGCAGATGATTATTGAATACCTATCAATTAAATATATAATATTTAAGTTAAGTGTCACCAGATCCGTCGAATGTGAGTTACAGGTTGTCGTGAATGATTGCTCGTCAAAATCTGTAAATTGGTTTACCACCGTTGGCTTGAAAGGGGGCGTTAGCTGTCGCATGCTCGCCTTTTTCCAGTCGATGTCACGAAAGAACGGATGCGACCTGATGGGGCCCTGAGGGCAATCTGGCATGCCAAGACGAGTATCGGGATTTCGGTCGAACAGCTGAAAGTGTACTGTATGCAAATGGCCGTTGCGAAGGCTGCGTAGTTTCATCTACCGAATGAAGGCATCTGACAGCTTCCTTGCTGAGTGATTTTGGGAATGCAGGTTGCTCGTTGGTGATCGATTCGTACAGTTCCTCTTCTTTTTCACCGTGGAATGGCGACTGACCAATTAGCATTTCGTACAGCAACACGCCGAATGACCAGAAGTCTACCGCCTCTGAGTATAGTTTGCCTTTTATTATCTGAAACTCGCTGTGCTGATAAGTGTTTGAAGTCGAAAGACCGGTTCTCACCTCTGGAGCAATGTAGTCGGGCGTTCCGCAGAATGTGCTGGCCTTACCGTGTTCGCGGTTCATTTCCGTTTTGCACATGCCAAAGTCCGTGAGATGGATGTGACCCTCGATGTCAAGCATTACGTTGTCCAGCTTCAGATCCCTGAACCAAAACCGACCCATTGAAAACAGGTACTGATAAGCTTTATTGCCGTGGAAAAATATACTTAATAATCTATTCACGCAGGTTGTCAGGTACAGTACTCGACATTAACCAATTTCGGTTAAGATCGGTCCTCACAACGCAGTTCATTTTAAGATCTGAACCCTTTGAGTGCACTCAATGAGACTACCTTCAAAGTCGATCGACCCAAAATTAGCATGAAAGAAAAATAAGGAAATGAAAACACCACATTAAACTGAACGAAATTTAACAAAATTCTCTGAACGATAATTCCATAGTGGGCTTCTTGGCCTCCATTTCCTACGCATTCATTAATGGGCAGCTGCTGTCAGGGCTAATGCTGGGACTGCAGTCTCCCTTCGGTGTTCCGAGAAAACACCGGGACCGGCCGATGGTAAAATTTCATGGTCAGCGGTGGATTCGGCGAGAAGAGAACAAATTAGATTGCAGGAAAGCCGACTTCAGCTCACAGCACATCCACAGCGAGAATAAGAGGGATAAAAGAAGTTTGCAATCCTACCATTACTTGTACGTTGTTCGACTGCGGTTGATCATGGCATGACCTTATTATATGGAAGGGATACAGCAACTTTTCAAACAATTTTAAAATATTAATTAATTATAACCATGACAATTAGCGTATCATAGGTTCGTCCGGATTAACGAGGATCGCCCTCGCTAGTCTTGATGCTCAGCTCATCTTTCTCAAGCGACTTGTCGTACTAAGCTTATACATGATCCTTTTTGAATTTTCTGAGCCGACGTCACTCAATTGGGTGTTTGCAGATTCTTGAGTACCAATCCGTCACTGCTGAACGGTATTGATTTTCAGTCAGTCGTACGATGTGGCCTGCCCATTGTTGTTTTCCATTTTGTCGTTAAACTAAAACAACGCCCTTCATTCCCCTGCGTCTTAATTCTTCATTTCAAGGAAATTTCTACCACCCTTCTTTCCAAAGTCCGCTGTTGCACTGTTTATAGTTCCTAGTCTCGCAACCATATAAATCAATTGGCAGTGACGAGCCTTCATGCAATGAGTTTCTGACAACCCAGACAATTTTCTGTTTTCAAGGATGTCAGCGTTTCTTCTTTACGTCTTTACGCCCTTCACGCCGAAAGACGCCTCCTAACGAGCTGTGGACTAAAGGAGTGGTCCAATGCGATTAGCTATGCTAAGTGATATGCTCAATAACATATTCTATTTAGTAATTATTGAGAGTAACTGTAGCTGGCGATGAGAATGATTTTCTTATCATTTTCGTCTTTGCCCTCTTTATCTGTTTATCTTTGCGCTGTTAAACTTCAGTGCACTTTAGCTCTAACTCAGAGCATGATTTGAGAATTTTTTGCATTCCCCTCAGAAGTACGATGTCGTAGCAAATCGAGGATGAGTGATCTGCCTAATATTGATCACGAAACCTCCATCCTCTTTCATTTTGCGGAACACTGACTACACAAATCCGATAAACAGCTTGATTTCTAGCGAATCTTCGAATAGTCGGCATTGCATACTTATCTCAGAATTCGGATGTATTTTTCATCTATTCTTTAGCATGATCAAATAATCTGATTTTCAGCATCAGAGATGAGATATGGTATTCTTGTAAGACTAATTTGCAACGATCTTACTGATAAGAATCTTTGTTGATCATCAGCTTAAAATCGATAGCTTTGAGTGCATTGTTAACTCACCTGTATATGATACTTTTGTCATGAAGAAACGTCAATCCACATAAGATTTCGGCTGCATAAAATCTGAAAACACTCGTTTCAGCGATCAAGGCAGGCTGGACGTAATGCAGTACTGGGCGTTACTTTGCGCAAGGTTCAGGAAACTTTTTGACCCGTTGAATGTGATACATGAGATCACCACCGTTCAGGAATTCCATGAGGAAAAACACGTAGTCCTAAATTTGCAGTTTCTCGTCAAAGGCTTAGCAACAGTTGGAAATTTTTCCTATCGTACCCGTGATTGCAGGCATCCGTAGCATTTGGTCAGGAAACAACACTGGCTTCCCATGATGAGCAGGCGCCGCTCGATCAATGTGCATTCGATATCCTCGCCGTTCAGGATCACGTCTTTCTTGAGGCACTTCATTGCGAAGTACCGTTTCTTCCCTTTGAGCTCAACCAGCAACACCTAAACGTAAAAATATGGTCCAAGCGACCAGTCTTATATTCCAAACTTACCTTTCCGAAACTTCCTTTGCCCAGGAGCTTGAGAATGTTAAGGTCTTCCAGTGCCAGCGACTTCTTCCTCAGCTTGAGACTCACGCTTGACCTGAAACAAACGCTGTTGTGTTTAAATGAGTTAAAGAAGATCTGAACTGTTACTTGTCAAGACCGTCAAAGTTGAACTCCCGATCAAAACTGTAGCTTTGTCCTCGGAAAAAAGGGCGCATTTTCTTCAGGAAGCTAGGCGAAGAGCAACCATTGAGTTTGGCGCATTTGGCGCCGTGTCCACTTACCTGACAGCGTCTGATGCCTTACTGCTCGTTGACAGCTTCTTTTCCGTAATGTCACTACAAGACAAACTGCAGTTGTTGTTCGAAGTAGAGTTGTTGCTGATTTTGATTTCTGCCAGAGTATCAGCCAGTCGTAACTGGTTCACTCCGCAGAGGTTGGCCATCAAACCTTGGCACTTACTATGCGCGTTGATCCCACAAACTAAAAGTTTCAATACGTTCGACCTGCACGCGAGTGTCGTACATAACAAACGTATTTTGTACGACTGTACATAATATGTAACGTGTAAATTATATTCAACCTCCTAACTATATAGTGCAATGCTATAGCTTCTTCCATTAGACATGTCGTACCTTGCGCAGTTTCCGTTGTTAAACCTTACCTTCGCATTTGACTCCCTGTTTGTAGAGTCCGTAAAGTAGACTGCCGCAGTGATCACAGAAGGTTGGACTTTTGAAGCTGTACAGTCGGAATCGATGTGGTAAGTCGATTTTAAATCGCTCTTTTAAGTACTGAAAGTATGAGTATTAGTAAAATATGAACATTAGATATGAGATCGAAGCATATGCTTCAAAAGAAAATTTCATGTCAGTCTAATGACCAATTTATATGCACAGCAACTGTCTATGATCATTCCTCACGGAGACGAATTTCAGTCTGGTTCTACATGTTTGAGGAGATAGTTAAAGTACAAGGTCTGAAACACTCGACTAAAGATGCGACCTTTCGCTGATAGTCCGTGTCCGGCAAACTTCTTTCCTTTGTCCACCTTTGAATCATCAGTCAATCAAATCTGCATTCAGCACTTCAAGCATAAGTGATTTCGAAAGCTGTTATTAAACTTTGCCGCCGTAATAGCCAATAATAAACCCGTGATATTCATGATAATATGTTTTTCTTCCAATATCTAGTTTAATTTAGGAAAGGGGTTTGCTGACCGCCTAATGAACTGACAAACTGAAGTGAACCCAGCGAAATCATAAACGCGCTGGTTTTTCGGTTTTACTACAATTCTGAGAGCCTTGGACTGATACCATAAGGAATCAGCAAAATTAGGTACTTAGCACCTTGTCTGGGCAGAGGTATAGAGATGATGACACAAAACCTGATCGCTAGCAACTACTGTTCGAACTGAATCTTTGTTCAACAATGTGATGTAAAACATTTGAACAGGAAAAGAGTTCATGA